ATAGCCATGAAAGAGCTTACAACCGTTAGTATATATCTAACGAGGTTCATGTTTTCTTATACTGGATGTAATTTAATAGCCATGAAAGAGCTTACAACCGTTAGTATATATCTAACGAGGTTCATGTTTTCTTATACTGGATGTAATTTTTCACGACATTTACAAGCATCAGATGATTTTTGTTCATTGTTAAACGTTTGAATGAGTAGAGAAAACTTATCATGCACAAAAGGAAAAAAATAAACATTTTTAACTGCACTGACAAATTAATCATCTCTAGGATAGTGGTACAGTTTCATATAAATGATTCTATGATTGAGATTATACGTAGCTGTTACCATTTCTAATGGGGTGGGGGGTCTATATAGTAGATTAAGTCATTATGAAGAAGATGTGTAGTCATTCTTCTTCTTCTCTTTGTCAATACTTCTGTAATTAAACGAGTGAGTTTCTATCAATAAGTAGATTAAGTCATTATGAAGAAGATTTGTAGTCATTCTTCTTGATGCTTGACTCGTGATCTGCAGGTTGAAAGTTCAAAACCCATCACTGAACATGTTTGCCCTCTAGGACATGAGAGTGTTATATGTGACAATCAAACCCCACTTTTCATTGATAAATGTGTAGCCCAAGTATTAGTGTTAACTAGCTGCCTTCCCTCAAGTCTATCACCCCTAATATAGGGATGGCTAGCACAAAGTTTTACATGAAATAAAAACAAAAAACGGCTGTCATCACTTTAATGAATTTCGTATATACTGTAGCAGAGACAAGAGCAAAGTTTCAGTAAAACTCTGACTTCCAAAAAAAATTAGAAAATGTCTGAACTTGGGCCTTACAAATATATTTGGGGAGGGGGGGGGCATACAGAATAATGTGGTAATTCAACTATAACTTTCTAAATTCACAATTTACCAATCCAAAACCAGAAAGCTCTGTTGTAAATAATTTTCAACAATATTTTTTGCAAATAGGAAATATTTCTATGGTAATAGAATTTTTAGTCGTAGCAGAGCGGCTAATAGAATGGCTCCGAGTTTTTCAAGTACAAACTTTTAGCTCAAAGCTCCATCATCTCTCGACCGATTTGAAATCTAATTACAGTTTTTCACTCAGGAGGTCAAACCCTTACGATTTAATTTACCCTAATGCTACCTAAAAGAATTTCAATTTGAGGATAGGCTGGTAGGGTTCATGATGAGTAATAAGGTTAAATTGGGTATATACGTGCCCCATGGGTGTTAAAATAACACCTATTAACCATTAATATTACAACAAAGTGTCAGAATATGTTAGTATTTGTATGACAGTTGCCATTCCCAACCGGAAAAAAACCGGAGGTTTTCAGGATTTTTTAGAAATATCCGGATTTCCGGATATATCCGGAAGACTTTCATCTCTGATCTTATGTAAACCGTTGAGCATGTGACCTGTTAACTGGACATGTCTGATTAGTCCAGCCTTCATACTAACACAGTTTGTAATCAGAGAAACAAGATTTTACTATCAATCAGCTTGTTTTTAGGTGGTCAGTTAGAGATCATGATCTGAAAATTCTTGCACCTCTGACTGTGAACAATAATCAGCTAACCTATTAGACTACAGGATGCCTACGCAGACTTGTAATCATTACATAATGATCACATGCACACACTTGTTTTAAAGATTTCGAAACTTCATTCTCTCAGAAACTGAAACACACAAGGGAATTTCATCTTTCTTTCTGATGTAATTCAGAAAATCCTGATTTATGTGATACCAATATCTTTTAGTTGAAAATATTGACTTACTTTTACTACTGTAGGTTCTGCACACACAAACATCTACTGACAGTAACGTGTTCATGTTATCTATTATCATCTAGACTAACCCTGCTTCTCCTGCTACAGAACGCACTGTTCGCGTTGTAGCATCAGTACTTTGATAACTAAATGAAGTCTGAGAAATGTCGTTTAACATTAGCTTCAATGATTAATTACTCAGCTTCTTCAAAAATCAGAAATTGATAACACAACTTTATAAGTTCTACACAGTTTTACTGTTTAAATTTTTAAGTTAACGAATACTACTAAATAAATAAGAAATAACTGTTTGTTAATCATGTAATATATGCACGATAGTTTCAATAATGATTACCCATTTCTTGCATATGAGTTACATTGGTGAGACTGGCCAGTGTAGTGAAATTAAAGCATAAGAACAATTAGCTAATGTCAAATATGAACACAATGAACCTACCAGCATCCCTCTTATACTCCGATATTGTTCTACATACTGGTTTCAAAGCTGTTGAGAATATCAGCTTAAAAAGCTTGTTTTTCATCAGCACAGAAAAATTTGGCTTAAATGCACAAAACTGGTGGCTGATCTCAAGCACTTATCTCACCTTTGAACAGCATTATACTCGCATACATAGCCTTTTGTATACACATTTTTTTTATGAACAACTGTTTGGACAAAATATTCTTTTTTTGTTGTAAGATATATTGCCAATAAAAACTGTTCCCTCGTGTCACAAATCTTCTCATTTATTTGGCGATATAAAGGCCCGGGAATTTTAAGACAAGATGCTCATAAAAATATGATGAATACTTTTACTTTCTTTGTCTAAATCACCTTATAAATAATAATTACTAGCATACACTTACCAAACCAGCAGAGTTACGCAAACAATGAGTGATACCAGTATTTTCACTACTTTCATATCTGGGTCCAGCTTTCACAAATACCCCAAGTCTAGTAACAGGTGAATAGTTCTCTACTGATGCAACAATCAGTCCGTTGGATAAAGTAGTTGTCTGAAAAACAGTTACGTTGTATTTTTTAATGCAACTCATACCTAAAATATACAAATATTTAACACACTACTATCTCAATACCTCCAAACTACATCTGTTATTGTCTACTACTTTTAAAACTGGGTTAGAGTAAGAACTCAATATTAACACACTGTTCTTTTTTTTTACAAAATTTCCAAAATACCATGATTACTAGTTACGAGGTTTCCATGTGACTACTTTCCTGCAAAAAACATAAGTGTAAAACATACACTCAGTACTAACAATCCACTATTATTATTTGTGTGTTATTTTTTTAAATGGATTACTTGAGAGGCTATCATTAAGTAGAAGAAGTACAGACAACAAGAAAATGTGCATTTTGTCATGTAATAAATAAATTTAGTATCTCTGAAATGAAACAATAGTATACAGTAAAGAAAAAAGGTCAATATCATTAAAAAATTACAGAGGGAAAAATATACTAGTACTCAACATTTTATGTAATGTAAGAGGTATTTCTACAATTTATTCTTTTAAAAGGTTGTATCAAACACTAACAAACAAAAAAATAGCAAGTTCCACAAGATGTACTGACATGAAGATCACGGCAAAAAGTAATCGTGTCTATTTGGAAACGTGGGATTCAAAAGGTAGGTACGTCAAGATTCAAGAAAGTCCAAACTATTTCAAAAGGTAGGTTTTCTTTAAAACCAGGGTGGATGAATGGTGTACAGAAACAATTATATCATCAGTTACATTGCATCGAGCCTATTCCCATGTTCACATGCATCGGTAAAAAAGTCTCACGCTTTGGGGTCGAATTAGTAGCTTTCTATAACGTATTCTGATTAGTTGGTCCATGTCATATTCAGCACCATGTTGATCCAGAAAAGGCACCAGATTCCACAATTTTGATACACTGAATAAAACATTTTCTGGGAATGCATACTTCAAGACCCCTACACACACTCAATAGCAATCCCACTTTGATACTCACAGAACTTTACTGAACATTGAAATCTTGCTTTTTCAAAAGTTTCACTCGAACAGATTCCTAAAAATTGTCAGCTTTATATTAACCCTGTAACAATATGCTTCTTGAGATAAACATTTCCATTAAATTTGACTGTTCTACAATTCCTTTATCATGTCATTACAACACACAAGAATAGTTTTAAAATTTCCAGGTGTGTTCTTTGTTCTAAAGATCACTAATTTGTTTCAATGAAAGTGTGCTGCATAGTAACCGTAATATTACGAATGTCTAATATTAACATAACCCAACCTATGAACATTTCATGCATTAAAAGAAGTGTTCTTAATTTAATTCTTGTTTCTATTGAAAATGGATTGATCTCTATTCTTAAGTGGAATTCCTATTCCTCAGAAATAAACTTAAGTCATAAAAACTTTGTTTCAAAATTACTTAAACAGTTTTACTTTAAATCATTATCTTACTGGAATATAAAAAAATGGAACATTGCTTATTTAACTGAAAAGTTAACATTTATGTACAATTCACCGTGGCACATAAATATACTGACCTTAGCGTCTTGTTTCGAGAGGATGACATGATCCGATTTTTGACCAGATTTGGTGGCTGCGAATGCATGAGCAGAGTATGATCGATACTGCAAAAAAAATGAAAAATATTCCCATGAAATTTCTTATATACAAACTGAAATTATAATATATATAGAACAGAAAATCATCAGCACATGTGACTCTTTAAAAGTAGAATCTGAAACTGATTTTTACTTCATCTCTTACAATCACCATTTTCTCAAGCCATTCTTATCAAAACTTATTTCTAACTGACATGAAAGCCTTGTTGTGAAGAGAGAGAACATCCACTATACACTTTGAAACAAAGCTCAGAGGTACAGCTTTTGAGTGAATTAAACAAATAATTGAAAATAAATAATTCACTCAAAAGCTGTACCTTTGAACTTATATTTGATATGGAAGCCATTTTGGTTACTCTTTCCAGAAATGTTGTTTGTTCTCAGGAGGTGTACGAGAGGCTGTTTCATAATAAAATACTCAAACCTGATGCTATTGTACATTTTGATGTAAATCATAATCTTTATTTTTGTCTAGTTTTGGTGTGTTTTATGTCTGTGGACAATGATGCAGTTTTTACAATCAACAGAACTTGGTATTTTAACTTTCTAACGCTTATCTATGGCATGGAACACCAAAATCCGATAAATAATTTTAAAAAATGTGTTTCTTTATGCAATCGCGCGGTTTGTTTACATTCGGCGACAGGGCGCCGCCATTTTGTAGTCTCGCAATGCTTGCTGGCGTGTACCAGACCTTGTATGCTTATAATGCAAACTTCGTGTCATGTGAACGAGATTTTATCTCAAACGTGCTTTAGAAAACGCAG